CAGAGGAATTCCTTGGCGGCCCTGGCCTCTGTCGCTGCCCCCGATGCGCCCAACGACACGGTGGTGGAGCTGCAGCAGGACGTCGCGCTCCGGGCTGAGGCCGCGGAGGCAAGCTACACCCTGCCCTTTGTCATACCGGGCAACCGCACGCTGACGCTGGCGGGAGGTGAGCTGGGGCCGCCAGGGGACAGGGCGGTGGGGTCCATGTGAGGGGCCCGCCGCTGGCGCCCGCTGAGACGGCCGTCTCTTCAGTGGATTCTTACTGCTGTGGTGTGCAGCCGATGGCCAGATGAAGTCATTGGATTTTGGAGAAATACCGGAGCTGCTGTTCTTCGAGCGTGGCAGCAAACTTTTTGCGGAGCAGCTGAACATCAGCGGTGCGTGTTGTCGTGCCGCCCAGCTTCACCCACAGGAATGCTGGTCGCGGATGCAGCACCAGCCCTGCCCGGGCCGCTGCATAGAAAGCAGCACACGGTGTGTGCCTTTGACCTGCAGGTATGGAGGATCCACAGCTGGGGTCGTGGCCCGATGGGGTCACCAGCCCAACCGTGGTCCAGTCGCTGCCAGTCTGGCCGACCATCGGAGCAGATCCGGGGGTTGAGGTGAGCAGCGCAGCCATTCCGCCAATTTCTGTTGTGGTCGGGCTGCGTGGCACGTATGAGGAACCGCTGCTGAAGCTGCACCCAGCGCGTCTCCAAACACAGCTCTCGCTATCCATCACACCACCACCACCACCATCATCTGATTCACACACACACTACCCACACACGCTTCCTTGCATGCGCAGGCCTCGGTGCGGGACGTCCTCATGTACCTGCATCCCACCGACATTTGCTACCCAGAAATTGGGGCTGTCCAGTACGAGGCCCTGCGCCAGCTGGCGGCTGCGGCGGGCACCAACAGGACGGAAATCGACTTCAGGGGCAGGGAGGTGACCCTGGTCAACTGGTCGGCCCCGCTGCCTGTCCTGAGCCGTGACACCAAGGTCGCAAGTGAGCGCTGCAGCGGCGCAGGAGTCAGGCGCCTGCCAGGGTGCCTTGCCACAGCTAGCAACTGTCCTGCGCCCCGTCCTGGCTGGTCTCTCTTGATTCAGCCTGTCCCGCTCCACCCTGAGGCTGCCTACCTACTGCATATCCTGCTGACACATTCTAACCTGGGCTCGCTGGCGGGTTCGGTGCAGTTGGGACGATTCTGGTGGCGGCGAACAATGCAACCATCTACTGCCGGCTGCCGGACAATGATACAGCACTGGCACCAGCACCGGCGCCTAGCATCGCTGGCAGCACCGGGGCCAACAGCAGCAACAGTGGGGACAGCATCAGTAGCGGCAGCAGCAGCGGCGGAACCAGCGGCGGCAGCAGCGGTGCAGGATCCAGCAGCGTGGACAGCGAAAGCAGTGGCGGCAGCAGCGGCGGAGCAGAAGGAGGGGGAGGAGGCACGCCCGGCTGGGTGTGGGCAGTGATTGGTGTGGCTGTGGCGCTTGCGGTGGCGGCTGCCGCTGCCGGACTGGTTTGGCGTTTTCGTCGCAAATCGCGGAAGCAGCAGGAGGCGCAGCTGGACGCACTGAACGTGCTGGTGCCCGCAGCAGTGAGCAGCGAGCCAGCCAGCAAGTCTCCTAAGATGAGCTCTCTGGATCGCATGTGGAGCGGCTCCCTGCCGTCCGCAGGCAACAGCGGCATCCTGGAGTTTCCTGGTGGCAAGACCATTTTGCCCGAGGGGCCTTGGAAGTCCAGGTGGGGGCGGCTGCCTGGCTGGGCTCAGTGCCTGGCTGGCACCGGGGGCAGCAGGTGCAAGATGGATATTGCTCCAGCCCACAGTAAGCTGCCGCGGCTGAGTTGGCTCTGGCTGTCTGCCTGCAGGGTGGGCTTCATCGACGGCTTGCAGCTGGGCGGGCTCATCGGCCGCGGTGGCTACGCGCGCGTGTACAAAGGTGGGTGGGCATCTGGGGCTGCTCCCTATGTGTAGCGCTGCACATTGGGCTCTGCTCAGGGTGCCCACCTCCTCCCCATTTACAAATCCAATTTTCCTCAGCTAGTGGAGCAGCAGCCTGAAATGTGCACGGCCCTTGCTTCTTCTGCCTGCGTGCTGCCTTGTAGGTCGCTGGAAGGGTACCACGGTGGCAGTGAAGGTGGCCGAGACACACGTTGGGCCGCAGCAGCAGTACGACCTTAGAGATGAGCCGTTGCTAAGGTGGGATGCGCAAAAGTGAACGCGAGGAAGGCAAAAGGAGGGCATCAAGAGAGCTGGCCTGTGTCAGCCCCTTTCTCTATCGCATTCCTTTCTGTTCCTTTCTGTGCATTAACTTGGCCGCCCACCAGCCTGCTTGCCCACTAACCCGCCTGCCTGCAGCCTGAGCTTGTCGCACCCGAACGTGCTCCAAGGCTACAAAATGTGTGCGGTGAAGGTTCTCACCGAGCCCACTGATGGAGATCATCACAGCATGCTGAATGGCTCTGTTCATGGCAGCGGCAACCTGCATCCAAGTGGCGGCAGCCATGGCCCCGGTCATAGCACCAGCGGCAGCGGAGGCAGGGTGGTGCCACACCTGACCAACCCAAACTGCATGGTTGAAGTCATGCCGGCAGACGCGGTGCTGGAGCCAGGGTGAGGCTTTGGCTTGTGGTGTGCTTGAGTTGCTGCGTGCATGTGCATCCCCAGACTAGTCTGCTTACCCCTCTACCCCCCATTCATTTGCCTTGCTCTGCGCGCAGGATGTACGAAATGTGGCTGGTCAGCGAGCTGGCAGACAAGGGAACCCTGGCAGATGCCATGAAGTCTGGCTTGTTCAAGCAGGCCGACGCGCCTGGCCGGAACCTGGTGAGCCCCTGGGAGCAGCCACCCACATGCTCTGCAGGCCATGCTGGTTCACAGCCCTGCCATGATGCCTGTGGCAACTACCCAGGCATACGTGGCACAAATCATGCCCGTTCCCGCCTGCAGCCTGTCATCCTGCTGTGCCTGCTGGATGTGGCGCGTGGGCTGGAGTACCTGCACAGCTGCAACATCATGCATGGCGACCTCAAGCCGCAGAATGTGCTGCTGAAGACGGCAGTCACAGACCGGCGGGGGTTTATGTGCAAGCTTGGCGACTTCGGGCTCAGCCGCATACTTCGGGAGACGGAGACACATGTGAACACGGGCTCCTATGGCACCGTGACGCATGCCTCGCCCGAGCTGCTGTCAGAGGGGCGGCTGACCAAGGCCTGCGATGTGTTTGCGTTTGGCATTGTTCTGTGGGAGCTTGTCACTGGGCAGCGGCTTTTCCCAGACATGCACCACATGCAGGTGGGGCGCTGCTGTGGGGGTTGGGGTTCCTGCAGGCTGTCTGCACTGATTCTTGCAAGACGCTCAATGCAGTGCACGCCCACTGCGAGGGCCAGGCTATCTTTGGCAGGGATGATCGCTCCTATGCCGTGTCCTGCTGCATACTACGTGTGCTTACCGCAGCCTGCCTTCTTGTCTGGTGCCTGCTGCAGATCATCGTCCAGGTGACGCAGAAGGGCTACCGCCCGCCCATCCCTGCCGACTTCCCGCCACCGCTGGCAGACCTTGTGCGGCGGTGCTGGGCCGAGGACCCCCACGCCAGGTGTGTTGACCTCACCGACCTTCTGTTTGTTCAGGTCCCACTGAACTTTGCCCTTGGTGTTTGGAGTGTTGCACGTGCTGCTGACGCACGCTGAACTTGATGTGACTTGCAGGCCCAGTGCAGGGGCAATCGTGCAGGAGCTGATCGACTATTGCACAAACTACAATGCCATCCACCATGGCGCTGCTCCTCCTTCTTCTCCTCCTCCGGCTGACGCCACGAATCGTGCACCGGCAGCCGATGGCACCAGCCCCGTCAGCGACAGCGCTGCCAGCACCATTGCCGCTGCCGTGGCGGCCGCCGAATCTGGCAGCACAGTCGCTGTGGATAGAGATCAGCCAAATGAGGGCGCAGCCTGATGCGCCGCTGGCTGCCCGTCATGCCCTGCACCTTGCGGTGCGTCCTGCTGGTCCTCCAACACTTGTTCTTCCACCACCTGCCCTGATTCCGCTCCGCATTTGCCTTCATATGCTGTTCCAGTTTTGTACCTTATGTGCTTTCCCCATATTCCTTTCGCCGAGACCGTGCCTTGCACCTGAGCGTGAGTGCACTGTAGCAACAACCCGCCCGCGGTGAGAAGAAAGCAGGATAGACGAGGTTGTGAAGTGCTCCTGGGCTCTTTCTCTTGCTTGGTGCCCAGGGTAGGGGAGGCGAGCAGGCACGGTCTCAGGCAAGATACCTCATCCCAGGGGCACTCAGCTTGAGCGTGTTGCTGAAACCCACGCCAGGTTATGCCCAGAGCAACGGCCCTGATGAAGATTGCACTGCTTACGGCTGTGGGCCTGCTGGCAGCCACCTATGTGGCGCCAGAGGCGGCGGCGCGTCGCAGCCTCAACCCGCCCAAGCCGTCGAGGTTCCTGCAGCAGGCCGAGCAGCCTGCAGGGATGGTCCCCTTGCTCCAGCCCACACCCCCGCCTGCAGCACCTGCAGCGGCAGCCCCTGCCCCGGTCATGCCAGCGCCGGCCGCCAACCCCTTTGCTGACGCTGAGGCCCCGACCCCAGAGGTCACCCCGACAACCATCACTCAGCCTGCAGCTGCTGCCGCGGCACCCACCCCAGAGCTGGCCCCAGCCCCTGGAGCCGAGGATGAGCTTGTGACTGGGTTTAGGTTGAGCGGAGAGCAGGCGCAGATCCTGCGTGACCTTTACGGCAATCCGCCCGACGCCGCCGCCACCATCCAGGCACGGCCACGGCGCCGCCACTGCCTGAAGTCTACCAGCAGCGCATGGCCGGCCTGACCGCGCTCTCTCCGTCTCTGTCTGTCCACCTTGCGCTGCTCGATACACACACACACGCGCACACGCACACATGATGACCGCTTGCCCACCCGCTCCCCGCCCTGTGTGCCTGCCTCCGCGCCTGCCTGCCTGCAGCAAGACCTGGCCCAGGCTGGCGTGACTGCGGAGCTTCCGCCGCCCTTCCCTGCCCCTGTGGCTGAGACACTGTTCGACTCTGGTGAGGTTTTGTTTGGTGGAGTGAGGTTGATTCTGCTCCCCCGCCATCG